GGAGTAAGATATTCAAATCTACAAAAAGTCAGCCTTGGAACATGTACGTGGACCTTAACAAGCCGAAGTGATTCACACCCTGCTCAGGGAATAGACCTGGATAGCATAGCACTATTTACATTATTTATATGTGCAGGTGACAATTCATTTTCCCAATGCACTGTAACAAACTACACACTCATTGACAAAGACTTCAGAAGGACCCATCTCCTGCTACCCTAACTTTCCTAGTGATGCTACTGCTCATTTTGGAAGATCAGTTTTCCCTCTAATTGCCAACTTACCTCTTCTCAGCTCACAGACTTGTCCCGAGAACCCCAGTGGGCACTGACAGGTGAAATTACCTATCCCATCCACGCAGGTTCCTCCATTGTCACAAGGGCTGGAGTCTGTTCCACAATCGTCAATGTTTGTCTGACAGCGTTGGCCAGTGAAGCCCAGGGGACATTGGCAGATAAACTGATTGACATCATCAATGCAGGTACTGCCTGAAGCACAAGGGTTGCTGGCACAGTCATCCACCACTAGACAAACAGAAAGTTCAAAATGTCCCATTACTCTCAGTCATTCTAACTATTTGCTAAAAGCGACATGTACTTAGGGCCAAAAATCTAACCTTCTGAAAAAGGCAAGATATCAGCCAGCTTTTTACACACAGTCATATGCCACAAATACTCACTTTAGAGACTTATTTGCACAACCTTTTTACCGTATTTCCCACCAGTATCTGATAATTTGGCACACTCCAAGGCCCAGTTAAGGAGCAATATTAAGCAACAGACTGTGTACAGAGGTCAGGTTCAAGTTCAACACACAGTCTACCTCCACAGACTTACTTGATGTTATGTGTGTACACTGCTAATGGGGGAAGAGTTGAGTATACTTGTCCACTATCGTAAGCTAAGAGAAGAATTGGTATTTGAATCTGTCAGCTGCTCCTTGGAATACGGATTGCTGGATCATGTTCACACAGTCTCCAGTAGGAAGTGATGATATTGAACCAACTGAATGGTTTGTCATGACGGACTGTGTCAACAAGTTCTCTACTTTTCCTAGCAACTCCTTTAAATTATTTATGTAAATTTTTCCCCCCAAGTAATACGCCAATAATAAATGTATGATTCATTTCTTCCTCGAAAAAAATTCCAACAAGGTTGTGCATGATTAATTTTAAACCAAATGAAACAGTTGAGCCATCCAACAGAGTAATGAAAAGAACAACTGTTTATAAACTGAACAGATCCAAGTCCTTACAGTCACACTTTGACGGAGTCACAATTTGAATGTGTCCTTGCAAGATGGTGTCCATGAAGTCAGCTGCTGCGATGACACTGCCAGGGGCAACAAAGCCGCAGGTCTGAGCGTGCTGTTGAACAACGGAAGTGTTCAGCGCCGTATCCCACAGGTTGACGCTACTCAGGGAACCAGTGAAACCTTGCGACTGGGTATCATCTGCCAATGAGAGAAACAAATCATCACAGAACTCCAAGCAGTCGTCTGTCAAACTTGGTGACATATTTGGGGAATCTGTCACACATAGTCAACAAACCTAAACTGAAAATCGGTCACTTGGTTATACATCACAGGAAATTAAGTTTGCACCCCTTCCCTTTTGCAGCTTATTGACATCATGAAATTTGCTCCATGTTCTTAAACCAGAGGAGTGCCTCCCTTTTGGCTAGTCACTCCACCTTAGTGGTCAGAGATATTGTAAAACCTACACACAAGTTTAGTACCACCTTCATAAAGACTTCAAAACCTGGTTTCTAGATGAGTATACATTTTGAAATAAGGATGATCTGAGGTATTCTTTGAAAACAAGTGACTGAAACAATACTCCACTATGGCGTCCTTGAGAGGACCTGAACTAGAAAGAAAAACAAACCAATTAGAAGTAGGCATCCACTTAATGCCAAACTAAATGTCAAACAATGCTCACTAGAGTTACGTAACTCTCCCAGAGTAAACTCCCCTCCACTGTGGATCCTGGCACCAGATCTCATCGATGTGTGTATCAGTCTCAGCTGCCCATCTCGGTAGATCTTGAGGATGCCACCGTGCTCATCCCATGAGATGGCCAAATGATGCCAATGGTCGTCATTCACAGAGACGGAGGAGAAAAAGTGATACCTGAGCCACAAAGACAAAACACACGGCACAGAATGCTAAGTCCTCTACACACTAAGCACCACAGGAATCCTTGATAGTATGTATAAATACTGAAACAATGGGCTGGAAACTTGCCATTCAAACCTGCTTCCACTTTGCACAGGTCTCCGCACCACATTTTGATGTTTTGAAAAGCTCAATACAGAGTGACTTTGGGAAATGAGCACAATACCTTACAGCTGCTTCCAACTCTTAGAATGTTGACCCAAGTTAGGGAAAATTTTCAACGTTGGCTAACTTAGGGCTCGGTGTTGAGTCCTGGTTTTAGGGAAGGTCTTCTCGGTAGTAAATACCATGGAAAAGTCACCTTGGTGTGTAAGCTTATGACATTGGAGAGAATTTCCGACATTTTGGATATTCATCCCTGAATCTTTGATGGATACTAGATAGTACAAAACTGGACCTCCAACAGTTTGGAGTTTTGTCACTCAGATGAAAATCCCACATGAAAATTACAAGCACAAACACGTGACAAAATGCTTTGCAATAACACAATAATACTTTGATTTCAGTGGTAACAGTGTTCAATATCACATCACATTGGTCAGTCATTCTTGAGGTGGCACAGGGTGGGGACTTTAAACATGGTTTTAAAAACTTGCTTCTTTTCAGTTTTTTGAGTATTCCTTAGTCAGGTTGGTATGGTAGTTCTTTCTTCGCCTTCCACCTCTGCGGTCCGGGTTCGGTTCCTGGATCGGTCCACATGTGGATTGGGTTTTCAGGCCCTACCTGATTTTGTGGGTTTTACCCAGATTATTCCTCTTGGGTTTTCCTGCCACCTCTAAAATTGTTATTACTTCTTATTGTCTCCTCTCTACGGGTTTCTTCAGGCTTGCAAGCTGCAGTGCCAAGGGTACTTATGATGAATCCTTGGTGTCATTACCAGAAATTAATACTAATAATGATATCAGCATCCATGGGTACCTTACTATTAAGAAAGTGCAGATCTGGTTCCACTACAACCTGTCACAACATGTCCCTAGATCACAGCAGTTGTGTGCGATGAACCCTAACGGAGTAGTCTCCAGGAACATCATGACACTCCCTCAAAGGAGGAAGGGGGGAACAGATGAGAGGAACTCACCCTTGAATGTAGACCCGCAATGCTCCAGGATTGCTGATGGCAAACTGTGCATCATCCAGTGTCTGCCCAGAGCTCTGGGTTGTGTAAGCCAGGATGAGTCCATCAGCTATAGCTGTGCGAATCCACATCATTATGGTAAATGCATGCAGTGGTTCACCAATGGCACGAGGTAGAGTGATGTACTGACTTGGATGACTGCCTCGGAACACCATGTCAAAATTGGACTGTGCCTCTGAGATGAAAAAAGTGCATGACATCTGCAGTATGAGCATAACCATGCCTCAGTTATCACTGCTGAATAACAGACTGGCCATTAATGATAAGTTACGCTGATGGCAACCTGGTGGTCCATTCAGTTGATTCCAAACAGATTTCTTGCTCAAAATCCTCATAAATACTCAATATTTTGGCACGTCAATCTCATTAGCAATAAGAAGCAATTTATTGTACATCTGTCCATGCTGAAGAAATCCTGAAATGTCAAAGAGTTGAATTGGATGAATTGTATCAATGAAAGGGTTTGTTAACAATTTATACCTGGTAATTTATTCTTTCTTTGTTGGGGCACCATGGTATTTAAAGCTGACCTATTTTCAGTTTATCTGAATTAGAAACTAATGCATAAATCTTACGCTGGCTGCAATATGTGCCAACAAATCCTGGTCTGCATCTGCACAGGTATTGGTTGACACCATCAATGCACTGAGCTCCATTCTGACAAAGGTGGCTGTCACATTCATTGATATCCTGCTCACATTCAGGGCCACTGTAATCAGAAACACACAGCAAACCAATACAATTGTCTTGCTTCACATGGACATAATGATAGTGTTGACTGTTAAGAGAGGACTTCCAATGTCTATAGATGATTTGTACTGACCTGTAGCCTGGTGGACAGTCACAGGAGTACATGTTGAGCCCATTGATGCATGTACCACCGCGCAGG